ATGAAAATAGCCATTTTTCACAAAATGCTAATGCGGTAATGGGTTAAACTCTTCAACAGATTCTACCCGCGTGATAGAGTACTTTTTAGGACCAAATTGGGGTAAAATTTTACCTTAAAATGTTTGTTTATTTCCCTATTCCTGAAAAGAAATCTACACCAACTTAATTAAAATATTTATTGAGATTGGACACTTATTTAAAACAGTGTATCAGAGAAGGATATTAAATGAAATTGCTTCACAGTTTACAAATCTATCTGTATACATATGAATTATATTTAACAAACAATGGACTGTTTTATCTGTTTCAAAATGTCCTTTTACTTCTCCTCAAGGACACATTTCCCCTCTCTATAGGCCATTCTGCAATTACCCTAAAAATAAAAAAAAAGCACTGCCAATCAGTGCAGACCGAGATAAGCACATCGGTGCCATCTGTTTGTGGGATGCAGTTTTCCTTTCAGTCAGTATATTTTGAAATTTTGAATGGTTTTGCCCTGATTAAAAGATTGACAAGTCAATTTAAGATATTTAGTGTGATAAGCATTAGATATAGTAGTTTTGAGTATTAGCAACTAGTAAGGTAAGGTTTTCTGTGACCAACAACTAATAAGGTAAAATATATAGTAAATTGTTCTCTGTGACTACTAGTTTTGATTATAATAAGGCTGCAATTTTGTTACAAGGGTATTCTGTTCTTAAAGAGGTTACCTTAATAAAGGTTTAAATCTATTTTTATTATGTCTTGTTTTTGGAAGAATTGTACTGATGTTGCAAAGAAGTTATTTCTCTACAGAAAGTGGCTTTGCATAGGTTACACTGTATATTTTAGTAGTAGGAATTTGTAATTGAGCAGGAAATGTAGAAAAGATATATCGTCACCTTGGCGCAAAAAGTACTGTAACTGACATTTTTGAAATTTTACAGGAGACACAAAAAACCGATTTGTTCATTTTGAGTAAACCCTTTTAATTCCAGACAATAATGTTGAAATATCATTAATAAGTATTATTAAATTGGTTTTAAACATTACAATTATTCATTTATGGATAAAAAGTAATTAGACATTCTTCTTCACGTACATGACTTTTTGCACTGTGATTTTTAAATGCAAAAAGTGATGTAAGGGCACTTACCATAGTTTTTGCACTAACTTTAATTTCAAGTATCGAAGTTACTGCATTGCATAGACATTGAAAGATGTTTATTACAAACAAATTAATTGTAAGGTTTGTTTAAAATAGGTCTTTGCGGATTATGAACCACATTTAATACATTAAACATATGAAAGGAAGTTTAAAAACTGAATATTTTAAAATTAATTTTCAACAGTAACAGTAAATCCAAAGCAGTGTATTTTTTAAATTTCAAAGTAAATGTAAGCACTTATCACAACAAAATTACATGAAAACTGCAAACTCGCTTGATTAAGTCTGTACATGAGCAATAATGAAAAGTGCAACATCCCTCATGCCCCCTAGCACCGACTTAAGCTGTACTCAATTTTCAACACTTAAAAGTGCTGGAATCAATGATTACAGAGGACCAGAAAAAACATAACAACACTGAAGTGAAGCAAGTGACAACTTATTAACCATGTTTTTTACTGTTTTCATTTTCCTAATGGCACAGTTTATTTATGTATTTCGGATTAAAAGGGGTATTCAGAGATCTATATATCTATATCTCAATAATATCTAACCATCACAGGGACATAGACTTTGAGATTTTGGATAAAACCACTAGGAATCTTGAACTTTTCTGAACATTTTTGTTGGATGTAGTCGAGATTTTGGATGAACCTGCTAAGAATCCTTAACTTTTCTTGTCCAACATATCCCAGTTAGTTCCTTTTATATTATATCTCATGAACAGACTTTAATTTTTATAAATAATTTTGTTTTCATTGCTTCTTATTTTCAAAATTTTGATATATTGAATTCAAATTGTCTTATTTCCTGCCACCAAACTTTAAAAAATATACGCCATATCACTATCATGGTGACGATATACACCGAGGTCAATGGTTGTTCTTTTGACATGTTGGTAGTTTTGAGTATTAACAACTGGTATATGGTATGTCTACTAGTATATGATAATTACTCTACATTTTTGTTTCCAATGTGTAAGTCAGTGTAGGTATATCTACAAAGATGTGTGCAGTAAGTGAAGGTGAAAATGCTTTAAATAAAGGGAGGCAACTGTGTTGTATGTGACGTGAATTACAATTAATTGATTGTTTCCCTTGGTTACTTAATTTGAACAGTAAAGATAGGCAAAAGTATGTAAATATGATATAGTAGTAATTGGTTGTCAAATTAAATGTGTTTGAGAAAGGTCATGTAAAATTATATCTACAGGAAAGTAACAGTATGATGGGAAAAAAGCCAGAAAAATATAAGATAGACAGTCCCTATGCATGTATGTAAAAAAAGAAAAATAACATAAGTTCAATGTCATATAGAAAAGTCAGTACATAAGTTTCTTATTATATAGTAAAGTTGGTGACTCAATAACATACAGATTCGAAATCATTAGTACAGTTGGTGAAAAAATTGAATAAATGCCTTATCATAAAGTTGAATTTTGGAATAGATAACATAGAGCCCTAGTATATAATGAAGATGATGAATAAATGACAAACATGTAGGTTCCCTAAGATATGGTAAAGTTTATGAATTGATAACATAAGTTCTATGATAAAGTTAAGTTGGGGAATCAATAACAAGGGTTCCCTGTTATATAATAGAAGTAAAGTTGGTGAAATAATAACAAACATGTAGGTTCCCTAATATATAAAGTAAGTGAATTAAAAACATACCTCTTCATATAGTAAAGTTAGTGAAGTAATAACAAAGGTGCCTTGACATATATTTAGTTTGGTGAAGCAAAAACATACGGTAGGTGCCTTGTCATATAGCTAAGTTGGTGAAGTAATAACATAGGTGCCTTGTCATATATTTAGTGTAGTGAAGAAATAACATAGGTGCCTTGTCATATAGTAAAGTTGGTAAAGTAATAACATAGATGCCTTGTCATCAAGTAAAGTTGGTAAAGTAATAACATAGGTGCCTTTTCATACAGCTAAGTTGGTGAAGTAATAATATAGGTGTCTTGTGATATAGTCAAGTTGATGATGTAATAACATAGGTGCCTTGTCATATAGTAAAGTTGGTGAAGTAATAACATAGGTGCCTTGTCATATAGTAAAGTTGGTGAAGTAATAACATAGGTGTCTTGTCATATAGTAAAGTTGGTGAAGTAATAACATAGGTGCCTTGTCATATAGTAAAGTTGGTGAAGTAATAACATAGGTGCCTTGTCATATAGTAAAGTTGGTGAAGTAATAACATAGATGTCCTGTGATGTAAAGTCAAGTTGGTGAAGTAAAAACATAGGTGTCTTTTCATACAGCTTAGTTGATGAAGTAATAATATAGGTGTCTTGTGATATAGTCAAGTTGGTGAAGTAATAACATAGTTGTCTTGTGATATAGCTAAGTTGGTGAAGTAATAACATAGGTGCCTTGTCATATAGTAAAGTTGGTAAAGTAATAACATAGATGCCTTGTCATCAAGTAAAGTTGGTAAAGTAATAACATAGGTGTCTTTTCATACAGCTAAGTTGGTGAAGTAATAATATAGGTGTCTTGTGATATAGTCAAGTTGATGATGTAATAACATAGGTGCCTTGTCATATAATAAAGTTGGTGAAGTAATAACATAGGTGCCTTGTCATATGGTAAAGTTGGTGAATTAATAACATAGGTGCCTTGACATATAGTAAAGCTGGTGAAGTAATTAGATAGGTGTCTTGTGATATAGTCAAGTTGGTGAAGTAATAAACATACGGTGTCTTGTCATATGGTAAAGTTGGTGAAGTAATAACATACTTGTGCCTTATTGTGTAATAAAATTGTGAATTAATAACATTATAAGGTGCTTATGATATAATATTGAAAAGTTGAACAGGTGCTGTAATATACAAGAGAGATGCATGGTTTCTACATGTCCTTATTTTGTACTTTCAATTTGGTATTAATTGCAGCAGTGTAGTTAAATGTATCAGTCATGCAGTATTTCCATGCACCATTTACATTTTGGAACACCTCAATGAATATTCTGTAGCCAAAAAGTTATTGAAATACCTCGCCAATCATCACTGAGTTGCATTCAAAATGGTGCAATACGCTTTGAATTACCGTATGTTCCTTTTAAAAATACAAGGCAAGCCAAAGCTTAGCGGGCCAGACATTTGACCTCCTCATACGAACAGTTGTCCATATTAGGTTCTGATGGCAGCTATAGAAAAACATATTCATATCTATGTAGTACCAGGAGGTGCTCTGTGCTTCTTTATTAAAAGAATCAACAAAAAATAGCAAAAATAGATTTTTTTCGATTTTAATTTAAGTTACCAATTCGGTTGGTGTAGTTTAAAGTTTAGCTTATACTAATTTATTCTAGTTTGATTCTGTTGGATTAAAACATTCTTGAATCTGATCCTGGAACCAGTCAGCACTCAAAGCAATGGTCGAGTGTCAAAGTGTCAAAGTTTTGTTTTGATAAAAGCAATAAAAAATTATAAAAGAATCAACAAAAAATTTATTAGATTTTATTTTAATTTATGTTACTTATTTAGTAGTCCAAGTGTGTAAAATTTTTGTTTTAATAATTATAATAGCCAAAATAAAAAAAATTGTAATATAATAATTTAATAAATAGAAACATATTTAATTCCAATAGTATTATTTAAGTTCCATGTAAGCCAGGCCATCTGGTGTGATATAAATGATATCATCTTCCCAGTGTTGTACACATGTTGTCAGCTGTTGTAAATGTGTGTGAGATATATACGGTACATATATATATGTGAATATATACCATCATCTGTATATACATGTGTTTTTTTCAAAGCATCTCATAATCTCTCCAGTAAATAATGTATGTAGGAAAACCAGCAGGAATTTTGGCCATTTTCCAGGTGTACAGCAAGTATTGGTTGCCGGCAAATTATTATATTACTTACCTGGATTTACAATTGAGAAAACTTCACCTTTTTTTTCTCCTGTAAGAATTTATAAATTGTTTTCCGCTTAATATTGTAATTGGATTTTGGAGTTTTATTTATCTCTGGAATTTTCATTGTGAAACTGGAATGAGATTGGAATAATAGTGTTGATGATCGAACTTTGGTTGGAAAGGTTGGAAAAATATTCGATGTTTCTTTCATAATTGTTGCTAGGAAAGAATTTGGTATGGGATATAGTGTTGTGTTACAGCCTGATTTACAGCTGTTTTGAGTGTAGAAATGATATAATTAAAGATAAAATTTGCATAATTTAAGATGATGTTTGCATAATTTTAGATATATTTGCATAATTTGGATAAAAATTTGCATAATTTGATGAAAATTAATTTTGTGCTTGAAAAAGAAATTCAGTTACTATAAATAAACTATAAACTATAAATATGTATAGAAAAATGGTTTGGTTTTTAACTTTGAAATTAATTCTTTTATTTTATTGGGAAAGTGTTCATAAGTAAGAATTGACGTAAAAAAATTGGTCAAGAGCAATGCAGTTAAGTGTTTAAAATATATTTTTTTATAAACAGTCAGTTAGTTTACTAGACTGATTAAAAAAAATTTAAACCATTTTACTTAAGTAATTGTTACGTTTCATTTGAAACTCTGCACTTCTATTGTACAAAAAAAAAACAACAAAAAACAACAACAACATTTCCAACACTAAAATATATTTATACATACATACATACATACAACACCATAGACAACATTTTGTTTAGTTTCATGGTTGACTGAAAATGGTTACAATAAATTCCTGTGTAACAGGTTTTACCAGGTTTTGTATATCAGCATTGATTCAGACATTGATAAAAGCCTGGGTTGAATAGAAGAAGATTTTTGTATTTGATCACAATAGAGATTGTTTACAATTTCCTAGGGCTATATTGAGATTTGCACCTCTCTATGAAAGTTAAGTAGCTTTTTAAGATATGCAAGTTTGTTACTATTAGATTTAGAATGTTGGAAGACTGGTGTTTAAATGACCTTGACCTACCATAAGAAATATCTAGGAAAGGATCTACAGATATGAAAAATTGTTTTAATATTACTTTTATGTTTGGTTTATGAGAGAGATCTTGTTTCAAAATACACCTATTAAAAAACAACAACAAAAAAAACAACCAAACAAATGAAAATTTGACGAATTAAAGGGAGGTAATTCAATATGAAAATCAGCTTAAATATATAATTAAAATTGCATTCTATTACATTATTAACTTGATGATCAAAGGCTTATACAGCTTGTTAAAATGAAAAGCTTTTATGACTCAAATAATAGTGTTTTTTTCCAGATATTAAAAGCATTTAAAAGTCATATTTAAAAAAAAAATCTTTATAAATTACATGTGTATTAAATAATAAGTTTATATATAAAAGTGCACTGGGATGGTTATTTTTATAGCTGAAAAATGAGTGTGCTTAACTATATAATTATATAAATGCTAAGTCTGAAAAAGCTGGGAAGTCAAAAATGATGATGGGAAATAATAGCAAATGAAGCTTTATTAAATTATAGTTCATTCCTGACTGATGATTAAATTATTGACAGATTAGGATGAAGATATGTACATTCTCAGGTAAACAGAAGTGAAAAAAGAAGATTTTGACTTACCTATCTGTACATTATTAGGTAAATATTAAGAATTGTGAACGGGGATAGCAAAATCTGGTCTGTATATTATTCAAGGCAGACAATAAGCTGTGAACAGGCCTGGCAAATTCTGATTTTTTTGTGTGTCTTACATGTCCAGTTTTATCTGAAGCATTTCTTTACTTTTCCCTATGGTATTTATAAAGTAAATTCTTGAGAAAAAAATCACTATCCGTAATGAGGGCAGTGCTGTTTTATATTTATAAAGTAAATTCTTGAAAAAAGAATTATTTATCCATGAAGGCTATAGGCAATACCGACAATTGATATTGCGGCACCTCATGAACAACCAATACCCAGTTTTTGGTTTTTGGTTAGGACACAGCATAAGTTACTGAAAAATAAAAACATAGAATAAATTATTGAAGTGTTTATTTACAAGCCAAGCCTGGTTGTATGAGTCATTAAGCCAGCATATGTTGATAGATCTCTTATTCAGAAATGATGTGCTAACAATATGTATGCACCAGATGGAAGCTGACAAAAAACTTCTCCCTATATCAGTTTTCATGTAACAAAAAAAAACACAACACAACGCCAACCCATATCTATAGATAAAATATAGGAGGAAAACAACAATGCTGTATGCAGTTTATTAGTGCAGGCTGACTCATTCTATGCATATTTATATAAATATATAAAAAACTGATAAAATAAATAGATCTGTTTGTTATACACTTGTTGCCTAATGTTGATGTTAAAAACAATTTTTGAAATGTAATTATAACAAATGAATATCAGTTCTTTAATAGATTTTGTACATTTCCTAAAGCAGGGTGCACATATCTCTGCCAAATTCATTCAAGTCATTCATACTAAACATTTAAAATCTCCAGTATAGTTTGGAACACAAATAAGGCTTGTAATGACTGTGACTCTACATTATAAATATATGTTTTTCACAATATTACCATATATAACACATATAATATATGAACATGATCAATACAATATATAAATGATTACATACAACATAATTATGATCATTTATAATATGTATGTATGTATGACTGCATGCATGCAATACATGGATCACATACAATATATGATCACATACAATATATGGTCACAAATAATATTTAATCACATACAATACCTGATCACATACAATATTTGATCACATACCATATATGATAACATACAATATAGGATCATATACAATATATAACTGCACACATTATATGGTCACATATAATATATGGTAACATGCAATACATGATCACATAGAATAAATGATTTATTATCCCATACAGTTTATGACAGCATACAGTATAATGATTTCATAACATATATGATCACATACAATCTATGATCACATTAAAGAGTTGATAGTGTACAATATACTTAAAGCATACAGTATATAAAGACACACAGTAAATGATAGCATACAATATATGGACACATACAGTGAATGATAGCATACAATATATGAACACATACAGTGAATGATAGCATACAATATATGAACAGATACAATATATGATCACATACAATATATGAACACATACACAGTAAATGATAGCATACAATATATGAACACATACAGTGAATGATAGCATACAATATATGAACACATACACAGTGAATGATAGCATACAATATATGAACACATACAGTGAATGATAGCATACAATATATGAACACATGCAATATATAATCACATACAATATATGATCACGTACAATATTTGATCACGTATAATATTTGATCACATGCAATATATGATCACATACAATATATCATCACATACAATATTTGATCACATGCAATATATGATCACATACAATATATCATCACATACAATATTTGATCACATGTAATATATGATCACATACAATATTTGATCACATACAATATATGATGGCATACAATATATGAATACATACAATATATGATCACATACAATATATGATTACATACACTATATGAACACATACCATATATGATCAATATAATCTATGATTAAAGAGTTGATAGTGTACAATATACTTAATTTAAAGCATCCACACAGTAAATGATAGTATACCATATAGGATCACATAATACATATGATCACATATATAAAGATATTTGATCAACATATGAGCATATAACAACTCTCATATAAGCATTTGCAACTTCTCTCTGACTTCAACACATAATACTTTAAAATAACAAATTTTCTCAATGAAATTTTTTATCTAAATCTTTTAAGGGTAAAAGTAATAAAGTATACAGAGAAATCATTATGAATTTAATCAATTTGACTTTATAAAGGTTTTAAGCAGTGATAATAAAATATTCTAGTTTATAAATATAGCTTAAATTATAAACTTTTAACTGTTTTGATAAAAAAATATCAACAGATACCGGTAAGCAGAACAAGATCATATTTAAATTGTCATTGTTGTAGGGCGTTAAACCTTTAACCATTTTTTAATGACATTCTATATTAAAAGTAAGAATAGTAAATACTGTAAAGAAGTTATCGTTATGAATATAAAACAAGCTTCATACATGCGGGAATTCAATAATTGTCCCCGATTAGAATAGCGGATAATTCAACTAGGGTAAATAACTATATATATATAAACATTATTATACCTCTAAGGCTTTCAATTTACAAGCTATTCAAAAAATACCTGTTGATTGGCAAGCAAAATATTAATGTTCTATAATAATATTTTACCAGACTTCTCGTTTTTCGTATTCATAGTGTATAAGTGCGTTTGGACGACAAACAAAATTTTTTTTGTGTGAAAACTTTGCAGGTATTAAAAAAATGGAAGTTTATTAAACAATTTTTACTTAACAGTGTATTTTCATTTAATTGAGAAAGTGCTGTTATAGTTTATGTATTTAAAATGACTTGGATTTATAATAACTGTAAGTAAAACATTTTCATTTACCTATTTTTCACCTTCAAAATACATCATATATATTTAGACTTTTAATTATGCAGTTATAGTTGCACATGTCGGAAAGAGAAATATCAAGAGTGTATAAAGAAGAAATAATGGTTATACATTTTTTTCCCAAAAAATTTTATTACATTAAAAATCTATTTCTATCTAAAATGTATGTATTTTATGTTTTCTTTCTTAATATATAAGTTTAAAATGCTTTAATTAATTGATTAATTAGATGATTTTAAGCTACAATTAATTAATTGATAAATCTTAATATATGTAAGTTTAAAATGCTTTAGTTAATTGATTGATTACATAATTTTAACAACTACAATTAATTAATTGATAAATTACTTAATTAGATATTTTTTCACTAAACTGCTTTAATTGATTTAATAGATAATTTTTTTAATATTTTATGCTAACATTAAAAACAGTCAAGGAGAAAGCTGTATAATCAACACAAAAACTACGAATAAAATTTTATCGATAAAAAAATCTAATGTCAAAATATAGGACATCGTTTATGAAAAGTTTTTTTTAACCATTCTTCATTGTTAAGTTTGTTTAATCAGTAAATTCTATATAGCCTGAGGAACAAGACTATTTATTGTAACATAAAATAAACTTGAAAAATATCTAGTTTGAAAGTGGGTATTTAACTTAAAGAATTGTGTTTAACAGTATACATACTTGACAGTTTAACTTGTAAGAAAAACAACAACAACAAAAAAACATGAAAATTTAGATTTCAACTCGGGTTTATTTAAAAGTTAAAAAAATATGAAATAAAACATATCTTTACGAGTACAAGAAAAAGAGAATTTTAAAGTTTTAGGGTAGCGTTGTCAATATTTGTTTGTGATCTGATTGTTTTATTATTTATATATATCACATGGTGTTAATTATTCATGTGTTTGAATGACACAGATTAGAAGAAACACTATAACAATAATTGAAAAATACCCTAAATGACATCTGCTGAGGGAGTGGGGGGTGGAGAGTGGGTGGGGGGTTTGAAGTGCCAATTACTCATAGCAATAGGACTTTAAATAACACTGCCTCAGTTCCAGGGCATATTTCGATGAAATTAACTGGGTATAAGCTAATTAACAAAATCTTGTCCACAAAAACAATTATCCTCAGGTGAGCAATTAAGGGCCATCATGGTCTTCTTGTTGTAATGTATAAAGATATAATGGTAGGTAGCTGATTTATCATATTGAAATATAGTGAAATAATGACAGATGTTCATGAAATATAAAACAGCCAATTATAACAGATGGTGTGGCAATTTTTTTTGTATCTCATAAAAAATTTACATGTATATAAAAAAGCATTCTACTTGTGTTTTTTCATGTATTGTAAGAATTTGTGTTACTCCTGGTCATATGGAAGCAAATTAGTGCTTCCTGTAGAATTTTAGGTGGTCCAATCCTTTATAAGGCAGCAAATTCAAAGTTTTGATACATTAAGTTGATGAGTTTTGGGGTTAAATATAAATTGAGCATCCAGGTTTTTTTTCCAGTGACAAAAATGTTGAAAATTCCCAATTTATTATTAAATGTTCGCCAATTTATATCAAGATTTTTCCCTTCCAAGCTCAATTAACTTTAATTAAGGCATGACTGTGTGCTTTGTACCTATGAAGTTTAGTGTTTGACAAACAAACAAACAAACAAACAGACAGACAAAAAACAATATGGCTTCCTGATCTTTTATTCCTAAAGCACATGAAAACAACAATAGCAATAAATTAGACATGACAAAAAAAAAGAATAGTATTAGAAGGAAAACAAAAAATACACCAGCCTGTGGCAAAAGTTTCAGCATCTGATTCCAGTAGTTGTTTGATCATATTTTATTGTGATAATTGTTCAAGATGTAACCAATTAGTGAACAATAGGTAATTAACCTGTGTTCAACACAAGTTATGATTAGGTCTAACCTGTAGATAACACTTTCTGTGGGATTTAACATATTAACAGTTTGAGTTCATGATTACCTCCCTTGGTTTCCCTTGATGCACTTATGATGAGACTTAAATGATTACCTCCCTTGGGACTAATCGTTAATCAAGTTGTTTTTTTTTGTTAAAAAAGCTTATATGGTTACCAGAAATGGTATTTAAAATTACTTTAAACTTCTGAAGGTAACTGCTATTCTAAATTTTCTACTCTGGAAAAGAAATAACCCAGCCAATCTTGGGGGAAGGCGGCTGATTGGAGAGCAGGGAGGTACAAAAAAACTTTTTAACTTACAACTTAATGGTGTGACTATTATATTAATGGTAACTATTTTTTTTAAATAATCACATTACATGGAAGACTATTGTGACTGGAAGTGCACCAATTAATTTCAGATCGTTTGCTAACTTCGGTTTTACATAATAATCACTTCTTTTGTCAAAAACTCAAATCCAGCTAAGAATCGCATACAAAATAAAAAAGGATTTTCAATTTAATTCTGAGTATATATATTAATGTATTATCTCTGTACATTTTGTTTTCCATTGTTAGTGTCCCAAATGATGTTTGCTAGAATTTTAAGACTTGAACCTCCAAATTGGAACCTCAATGGAGCTTCTTTAAACATTATTATAAGTTACACTTTATATTAATAGTTGATTAAAACGAGGCCCTGTGCAGAATGATGTAAACAAAATATAATTATGCAGTCTGCACCTTATAAATGATGAATCAAATTGTTTCAATCAATCTTAAAATATACACTGAGTATTATTATATCAACTTGGCTAGATTATGATCACAAATCATCCAGAAACTTTATCTTATCAGATGCTGACTCTTATGAAGAAAATATGGGGGAAAAAACAGGTGCCTGAAAAATCTAAAGTGTTTGTGAGATGTGAAATTTGTGGCTTTTTTACCTGAATTTGAATTAATTCCAAATTATGAAACAGCCCATCACCTACCTATGTGTGTAATTTGTGTGTGTACATTGGAATTTAATTTCACACCGGAGGTTTGGTGGTGGGGGGGGGGTGGATAGTAGCTAGAAAAAAATGTGGGAAGGGAAAAACCACTAAATGTTTTCCTCAATTCATATTTATTTATGGGTGAAATAATTTTTGGCATGCTTGTAGAAATGTACTCAGACTTGTTGAGGAAATCGTGAGTGGATAAGATATAGGTAATATAGGTTTTTACAGGTATACTAGGTAGGTTCATGTGGAAACCATCATTTCTCGTTAGTACAGTCTTAGTGCATGGGTGGGGTAATATTATATATATACAATACTCTCTTGATTACAATTTCATTTACAATTGATACAAGTTTGTTTCTTGGATATAAAAAGATAACATTTGGATACAAATCTAGGATTATATTGGGCAGGTGTGTAGATTTGTATGTACATTTGTATTGTAAATCATAATACGTAAATAATTCATAATAATAAAATAGTTACATTTTAATTTAAGTGCATTTTTAAATTTGATTTTTTTTTTTAACCAAAACCCAATGGGCACATTTTCATAAGTACAGTAAACTCTGGTTAAAACGATATTCAGGGGACCACCAAATTATATCATTATGTTCAGCTATCATTATATTCGTGAGGCAACCAATTTGAAAACTAGAGTTTGGAAGCAGCATTGGCATAATTATAAGCAGTATATGATTTTATGTTGAGCCAACTGTATTTCAAATATTGATAAAAACAGTAGAAATGTATCAGTTGAATATTGGTTATTGTTACAAAATATTTAAAAAAAATGAAAATTTTGAATGATAAGAGTTCTAAATGATGAAGTATGAACATTCATATGAATAAGTAATACTATTATTTTGTTCTAGAACAGTTTATAATCTACTATATAAATATATATATATATGAAATATTGGATCATGTATCACACACTTTCCAACAACTTCTATGAACAAATCTTTCGTTGTTTTGTTGTTATGTATCACATAAACAAATTTAAACATGACCCCTAACAATATGACAACTACAGTCATAAAGAAAATTCATCAAAAATATAGAGGATATTCAGGTCTTAAAGGTATAAAAATAAATATTTTATGAAGTGAAATATGATAATTTTCATACAAGATGAAATTTAATCCGGTACTTTAATTTTCTGGATTTTTTTTTCTCTCTTTTTTGACATTATAATTTGAAAGATTTCCCCTTAAATTTTGTATATTGGCTGAATTTAGACGAAAGTAGTCTGGCAAGACATCAGTGAAAATATGGAAAATATGTTTCACTGCAGTGAAAAATAAATTTTACAGGGAAAATAATGAAAATGAAAATATTTCATTTTATTTCATCAATACTCCTCAGTATTTCATTTATAAGTATTGTAATAAAAGAGTATATCTTGGAATAATGTTGCTTAAAGTTATGTTATAACATTTAAACTGTTTGAAAATATTGTTTAAATTCAATAAAACCACTCATAACAGACAAAAATAAATAAATACCAGTAAACAAAACATGGAGTCAAATTAAATAAACACAAACAAACAAAATAACTGCAAAGAACTACATACAGGCATAGTCATAAATAAACAAAGTTTAGTAGTAAAAGAAACTTTCAGATGCTCTCAAATACACAGACAGACAGACAAAAATATACAAACAAACAAACACTTGTACTATAACATATCATCAAATATAATATAGAAATCTAAAAAAAAAAAAAGAATAACAATATAACATTATACATGTATTATTATAATTATTATAATGCCTCTACATTTTGTTTTTATCGTGTTTTGTGACCTTTGAACATTTTAGGTGATGCACACTATATCCCAGACCAGAAATTCTTACAGATTTCAAGTGAAAGAAAATGATGCTTTACTTACAAATGTGATATTGGGAATAAAATTTGTTAAATTCGTACCATTGATTAGGCAGGACTTGCAAATCAAATAAGTGAAATAATAGGTGAAAAAAGTGTTAAAGTTTCTATATAAATTTCTTTGTTATAAAAGAATATAAAAGGAGAGTGTTAAAGAATCTGAAATTTGATTTTGTCATTTTTCGAAAAAGAAAAAAAAACCTGGATAAGAATTGATAATGGCTAGGAACCGGCCCCATCAAAATGTGACACGGAACCGGAAAATAGGAAACCGTGGTAAAATGCCTCAATATAATCTAAAATGGGGCGTAGAGGCTGACGAAGAAGACAGTTTTAGTGTAAGTATGAAATATATTTTAAGTAGGGTAGAAGGAATATCTAGGGGTTTTGTGTATAAAATATCTACGTTATAACCTCCCTTTATATTATTACCTCCCTTTATATTATTACCTCCCTTTGTACTTTATGATTTATATAATTTATCTTTATAATTTACAGTTTCATTTCATCTGCAGTTTACTTTATGCTACATTTTCATTTCATATGCAATTTGCCAACATTATGCTGCAATTTCATTTTAAATGCATTTTGCCAACTTAATGCTGCAATTTCATTTCATCTGCAATTTACCAACTTTATGCTACATTTTCATTTCATATGCAATTTGCCAACTTTATGCTACCGTGATTTTCATTTCATATGCAATTTGCCAACTTTATGCTACAGTTTCATTACATCTGCAATTTGCCAACTTAATCAAGTTAATGCTGAAGTTTCATTATATCTGCAATTTTGCCAACTTTATGCTGAAGTTTCATTATATCTGCAATTTTGCCAACTTTATGCTGAAGTTTCATTATATCTGCAATTTTGCCAACTTTATGCTGAAGTTTCATTACATCTGCAATTTTGCCAACTTAACCCTTTCCCCCATGAGCATATTGTGAAAAATGGCCATTTTCACTGAAAAGCCTCCTCTTACAAGTTCAAACTGCTATGAAACTATGAAAAATGCTTCAATACTAATCAAACTTGGCACAAATGTTGACTGGACCATTGCCTTTGTAACGACATGCTCAGTCTTAAATTTCCTGTTACCATGGCAATGAGGGGACATCTCAAAATTGCCAAAAATCACTATTTTGCCTCGATTTTTTCCATCAAAAATTATTTCAAAGTGCTGCAACTTCTCAAGGGATTGAGATAGAGTCAAAGGCTTTTCAGGGTTGGTTACATGTTACCTTATGATCGACCTGGGGTCATTTTAAGCTTCTCACAAGTCCAAAATTTTCTTGGCGATGAGGGGGAATCCGCCCCCCTTCAAACCCCCCAAACAGAAGGGGGCATATCCCCCTTCTGGCAACCCCCTGATGTATGGGGGACGGCGCCGAAAAAGTGACTTGTGACTGAGAGGTTGCCAATAGTTGAAGCCACCATTTATCCCTGGGTTATATTAAGAGGCGACTAAATGGGTCTATTGATCACTTAGCTCCAGCAGGAGAGGTGGTTTTGAATCCTGGTGTTTGCAACAACCCATGTTAGCCAAAATCATTTTTCCTGCTTCAGCGCCTTTTGACCTCAAACAAAACAGCAAATCATTTCATCTGCAATTCAACAACTTAATGCTTCTTTACCGCTTGTTTTTGGTCTTTCTGGAACCCATATATGACCTCATATAGGATTCCAACCTCTTAGAATCAAAACTTATGTCTTACCTGTGGACCGCTGCTTTTACAAATAAGCATACTATACGCAACAATTTTTCATGTTTCTAATTGTCGTTCATGCCTATTTTCCCATTCTGGTTTTCTTGTTATAAGTAGACCTCTTCACTATAATAGACTACAGAGTTCGTGTACAATAAGGAGACTTTATATAGCTACAGGCAAACTGTAAATTCTTGGCAAAGATTTGATTGAAGAAATAATGGCTCCTATCATTCATCATGTAACTGTATTAATAAGATTCTTTATGGAAAAGTTGGCAGTGGAACCTTAAGATAACAGATTAGTTATTGTTCTATATTAAGATAAAACATACCCCTTGTTACATTGAATGATCCATGAATGTTAATCGGAACTTGATTTTCCACATCTAATTTTGGGGTACCGGTACACACAAACTTTCACCATTATAGTTCTACAGTGCATTACCGTTCACGATAACAAATGTTAATCGGAACTCGGCAAATTTATGTTAGTTTTCCTTATAATCAAGGGGTAGAAACAGACATTAAATGTTACAGCTTTACAGTGCACTACGATTCATGATAACAAATGTTATCCGGAACTTGGTTCTCCCATCTAATTCAGGGGTATATACAAACTTTCACCATTATAGCTTTATAGTGCACTGCGGTTCATAAGAACAAATGTTTACTGAGACTCTTCATATGTTAGTTTTCCATATAAATATTTTGATATTGATTGCCTTAATAAGTCTTAGTATTTTGTCATTGATGAGTCATTCTTAATATTGTGATATTGATTGCTTAGTCTTGTTAATTTGACATTTACGAGTTATTATGCCCCCATTTCGAAGAAAAGGGGGTATATTGCTTTGCACTTGTCGGTCCGTCGGTCCGTCGGTCTGTCGGTCCGTCGGTCCGTCGGTCCGTAGACCAAATGGTTTCCGAGTGATAACTAAAGAACCCTTAGGCCTAGGAACTTCAAACTTGGTATGGTGATTGGTCATGTCCAGTAGATGACCCCTATTGATTTTGGGGTCAAGGGGTCAAAGGTCAAGGTCACATTGACCTTGTAGGCAAAAACGGTTTCCGATCAATAACTAAAGAACCTTAAGGCCTAGGAACTTCAAACTTGGTATGGTGATTGTTCATGATCAGTAGATGACCCCTATTGATTTTGGGGTCAAGGGGTCAAAGGTCAAGGTCACATTGACCTTGTAAGGAAAAACAGTTTCCGATCAATAACTAAAGAACCTTAAGGCCTAGGAACTTCAAACTTGGTATGGTGATTGGTTATGATCAGTAGATGACCCCTATTGATTTTTGGGGTCAAGGGGTCAAAGGTCAAGGTCACATTGACCTTGTAAGGAAAAATGGTTTCCGATCAATAACTAAAGAACTTTAAGGCCTAGGAACTTCAAACTTGGTATGGTGATTGGTCATGATCCAGTAGATGACCCCTATTGCAATTTGGGGTCAAGGGGTCAAAGGTCAAGGGTCACATTGACCTTGTAAGCAAAAAACGGTTTCCGATCAATAACTAAAGAACTTTTAGGCCTAGGAACTTCAAACTTGGTATGGTGATTGGTTATGACCAGCAGATGACCCCTATTGATTTTGGGGTTAAGGGGTCAAAGGTCAAGGTCACATTGACCTCTTTGGGTAAAAACGGTTTCCGATCAATAACAAAAGAACCCTTAGGCCTAGGGACTTCAAACTTGATAATGATGATTGGTCATGATCAGTAGATGACCCCTAATTGATTTTTACGTTCAAGGGTCAAAGGTCAAGGTCACATTGACCTCATTAGGTAAAAAACGGTTTCCGATCAATAACTAAAAACCCTTAGGCCTAGGAACTTCAAACTTGGTATGGTGATTGGTCATGACCAGCAAATGACCCTATTGATATTGGGGTTAAGGGGTCAAAGGGCAAGGTCACATTGACCTTGTAGGTAAAAAATGCTTTCCAATCAATAACTTAAGAACCCTTAGGTCTAGGAACTTCAAACTTGGTATGGTGATTGGTCATAGACCAGCAGATGACCTTTTGATTTTGGGGTCAAGGGGTCAAAGGTCAAGGTCACATTGACCTTGTTAGGTAAAAAACGGTTTCCGATCATTAACTAAAAACTTAGGCCTAGGAACTTCAAACTTTGTATGATGATTAGTCGTGACCAGCAGATGACCCCTATTGAGTTTTTGGGGTCAAGGGGTCAAAGGTCAAGGTCACATGACCTTGTAAGTAAAAAAACGGTTTCTGATCAATAACTTAAGAACGCTTAGGCCTAGGAACTTCAAACTTGGCATGGTGATTTGTCATGACCAGCAGATTACCCCTAATGATTTTGGGATCAAGGGGTCAAAGGTCAAGGTCAACATTGACATTGTAAGTAAAACGGTTTCTGATCAATAACTAAAGAACGCTTCGGCCTAGGAACTTCAAACTTGGCAGGTGATTGGTCATGAGCAGCTGATGACCCCTCGTTGATTTTGGGGTCAAAGGTCAAGGTCACATTGACCTTGTATGTTAAAACGGTTTCCGATCATAACTAAAGAACCCTTAGGCCTAGGAACTTCAAACTTGGTATGGTGATTGGTCATGACCAGCAGATGACCTATTGATTTTGGGGTCAAGTGGGCAAACGTCAAGGTCACATTGACCTTGAAGGTAAAAACGGTTTTTGATCAATTAACTAAAAACGCTTAGGCCTAGGAACTTCAAACTTTGTAAATGATGATTGGTCGTGACCAGTAGATGACCCCTATTGAGTTTTGGGTCAAGGGGTCAAAGGTTAAGGTCATGACCAGTAGATACTTGATAATCCTTTTTAATTGTTTGATCACTGGGTCAGAAGTCATGCATAATAACCTTATCACATGACTTATTGGCTGCTGATAGGGGGCATACATGTTTTACAAACATATCTTGTTCTTAATATTGTGATATTGATTGCTTAGTCTTAGTATTTTGACATTGATGAGTCATTCTTAATATTGTGATATTGATTGCTTAGTCTTAGTATTTTGACATTGATGAGTCATTCTTAATATTGTGATATTGATTGCTTAGTCTTGTTAATTTGACATTTACTAGTCATTCTTAATATTGTGATATTGATTGCTTAGTCTTAGTATTTTGACATTGATGAGTCATTCTTAATATTGTGATATTGATTGCCTATAGTCTTGGTAATTTGACATTGACGAGCGTCATTCTTAATATTGTGATATTGATTGTTTAGTCTTTGTTTTTGGACCTTGACTAGTAAGTCTTAATATTGTGATATTGACTATTTAATCTCATTATTTTGATGTTGAGTGCTCAGTCTTTGTGTTGGGATATTGAATGTTCACTCTTTAGTTTTGATATTGACTGTTCAATGTTAGTATTTGACATTAAGTTTAAAACTTTTGATATTTTGACATTGACTTTGAGACTTGTAGCATTTTAAGATTGTCCAATCTTAGCATTTTGATATTGACTTCTCAGCCTTAATATTTTGACATTGACTGCTAAATTTGAGTTTTGTGATATTCATTTATCAAATTTGGTAATTTAGTATTGAGTGTCCAATCTCAGTATTTTGATATTGACTTTTCATTCTTGGCATTTTGATGTTAACATTGTCTGTCCAATCTAAGTATATTT